AAAGCTGGCCACATTCAGAGGGACACTGAAATTCTCATGCAGCAAAAACAAGACTTACTAACCCCATCTCTAAACTTCTGCTAGCCATCAATCCCTCAGCATTTCAACAGAGAAGTTTTCTTCCACCTAGTTCTACCTGTCACTCATTCTAGCCAGATTGGGCAGCTGAAGGGCTTAATTCTGAGGTCCAGAAGGAAAAAACTAGAAAATGAGCCTTCTTGGTGATGGCCCCTCACCTTTGGAACATCCTTCCCCCTGAGATCCGCTTGGCTCCCTCGCTGGGAATTTTAAAGAAAAAACTGAAGGCCTGGATCTTCTGGCAGGCCTTCCTTCCTGACATTTCTTAATTAATTTCTTTCCCTGATTTTTCCATCTTGGATTATATTTCCTTGTCTTAAGGTTTTTTTTAAATTGATGTTTTTAATTCTATTCCTTTTTGGACTGTAAACTGCCCAGAGTAGATTCATCTAGATGGGCGGTATAAAAAAGAAATGAATGAATGAATGAATGAATGAATGAATGAATGAATGAATGAATGAATTAATGAATTAATGAATTAATAAAATAAGAAGTGTCCCCGCTGTGATCAAAGGGACCTGTTTCAACACAGCAGTCCAATTTCTGTTGCACAGTTATGAAAACAACCCATGTTATGTAACTTTTAGATGTGAACTGCCATAAATTAAGATACTATATTTTTTCCATGTATAAGACACTCCTGTTTATAAGAAGCCCCCTCACCACTTTTCTAATCCACAAAAATTAAGAAAATTTAGCTTTGAGGTTTCAGCCTCTGGGCTCAGAACGCTCAGACATGAGGAGTCACTGTTGCATCTGAGCCTACAGGCTCCACCTCCAGTGAGGTGTGTTCCAATTGGTTTGTTCAGCATCAGCTGATGTTAGTTCCATAAGGCTCATGATTGGAGGAAGCTAAGCCTCATGACTGAAGGAAGCCTGTTTACAGAGGCAAGGTATGTGCCGTTTTGTTCTCTCCTGAGCTATCTCAGCTTACATCCGTGTAAAAGACGCCCCTCAAATTGTAATGCAATGATTTTAGGAAAAAGTAGTGTTTTATACACGAAAAAATACAGTATCTCCACAGACATTATCAGTTGCATGCTGAGTCATGAGTCTCAGCATGAAATAAATAAAATATATGGAGAGTTCTTAACTTACGTAATTTGCATCCAAAAAGTTACACCTTTTGTGTAACTACATGCAGGATTTTAGCCAGTGAGGCAGCCTGTTCAATATTCTCACTTCCCACCCTATCCAGTGAGAAGTTTTTTTAAAAAATGAGGCCAAGAAAATAGCTTGCTTTTTCAATATATAGTGGCTTGCATAATTTGCACAAAAAACCACTTTTTGCTTTTGTGGAGCTAAGGATGCACATCCAGCCAACACAGAAGGCCAGGATGATCCCTCTGGAAATCAGCAGCCCGATCAGGATTTTTAATAGTCTGCCCAATAAGAAACAGTTGCCACTGGTTTTTGTATCTAGAGAAATGAACTAAAAATCAGTCTTGCAAACATGCAGATTCCCTCCAAGACCCAATGAGAAAATGGATATCTCACTGTCTTGCAGGGAGGAGAAAGATTTGCATAAAAAGAAGCCGACTCAAGATATAACTTCCTTTTTTAATAACAAACAACAGGATAAACAGTCGTTCCCGAAGCTTCATCTGTGTGACTCGTGCTCCCTCTAGTGGCTACTCATATTAATTGATGAGGGACATTTGTGTTGTCTCTTCTTCGCAACACCTGTATCTGAAACTCGTAAAAGGCATCTCAACATATTGAGGGACTCTGCTAAAAAAAAGGGAGGGGAGCCAACTACTGTGAGATGGTGGTGATGATGACGATGATGATTTTCCTCCTACATGAGAGGAAATGATCAGCGCTTTTTTGGCCATAGCCACATTTGCAAAATGCTGGTTTCTGTGCAGAAAACTTGCACTGCTTGCTAAACACAGGCCTTCTGCACCAGATACGTTTTCTGCAGAAGGTACACGGTTTTCCCCCCTTCCATGATTTTTTTTTTTTTGCAAGAGGTGCAAAATGGAAAAAAGTGCAAAAATTCTCCCAAAGTTGCCCATTGGGGGAGAAAAAACTTTTAAGGACATCATACCCTCAAGTGATGCTAATTTTAATGTTTGAACTTTAGGTTTTCTGTAAATAATCACACTTGAGTTGTCTATAGTGCCATTTTGATTATGTTATCACGGGAATGAAGTGGGTGCTGGTTGTGGGGTTTTTCTTATTTGTACATTGCTCAGATTAATGTGAATTCACTAATTGGGGAGTATATAGATTAAATTAAATTAAATTTGTTGTTGTTGTTTAGTCGTTTAGTCGTGTCCGACTCTTCGTGACCCCGTGGACCAGAGCACGCCAGACCCTCCTGTCTTCCACTGCCTCCCGGATTTAGGTTAAATTCATGTTCATAGCTTTGATGAGATAAATTAAATTAAATTAAGAAAAACACAGCAACCCTGTTTTTAAGAACTTACTCTTAGACAGCCGGTTCCTGAGAAAAAGCCTGTCCGAAGAGAAGGGTCTTTGCCTGCTTGTAGAAAGACAGCACAGAAGGGGCAAGCCCTTCACAACTTGGAAGCAGCGATACAGAAGGCCCTCTCTCAGGTCCTCACCGAACGCTACTCCAGCCGGTTCATGGAATCTGGAGACCCCCAGATGCCCCGCCCTCAATGCAGGAAGAATGAAAAGGAGACACTCCGGTGGAAGCGGCTTGACTCACCCTTCGGCTTCTCTTGCAGAGCCAAAACTAGGCTGCTGGCTGTACAGGTGGCACTGGGGGAAGTCTTGCGAGGTCTGTACACAGAATTGATCCCAGGATAGTCCGCTTGGGTGATTCTATTCCCTTCCTGAGCTTGAGCACTGTGCCCAAGAAAGACCTTTGCAACCACGAGCTTCCCTGAAAAAGAAGGACAAACCATACACACGAGCGCTGAAGTTTCTCAGCTCTACCAGCCATATATTAGCTTGCTTTTATTTTGTGATTTGGACACGGGCAGATAAGGAAAAATTGGAGTCTTCTCCATTTCAACCCTCCCAGAGAAACACGGGAAACTCTATGACAAGACAGCCGAATTACCCCAGCCTGGATCATGCTAAGCAGGGTTGCTTCGAGGTGCCGCATGTCATTCAGGGAAATCTTGAAAAGATTCAGTAAACCACACCTCAAACAACCCTATTTAGCATGATCAAAATCTTCTTTCCCTTTCAAGGGAAAGATTTCTCAAGATTGTTAAGCAACTGGCTGGTTGTTCTTTTGGTGAAGCCACTTAATGAAATGGGAAATTTCCATCCCACTCGCCTCCAGAGGGCAAGAGAGAGGAAGTTTTGCCTTTCTTTTGAATTGTTGCTCATTTCTTTTGAATTGTTTGCAAGTATCATCAGTGATACTTTGAAAGGTTTTTTTTTTAAAAAAAGCCTTGTCAAAGCATGGCTGAGGCGCTCTGCTAGATTCCATGTAAAAGAAATGGAAAACTTTGTTTCCCTTGCCCTCCAAAGGCAAGCAGAACGGAAGCTTTCCATTGCTCAAAGTTGTTAGGCAGCTTCACCAAAGGGACAACCAGCCAGCCACTTTGGTTCAATCCCAGGGATCGCACCTGCTGGACCCGAACCAAAACAGAACAATCCTATCGGCACCAAAAGAAACAGTAGCCCCTGACAGGGAAACAGAAAAGTGCGAGGCGGCATTGATTGGGGGGCAGGCTGGTTTGTGATGGCACATATATCATGGGGTAATCAGGAAATAGAGTAAACCAGCCTGTCCTCAACCAGGACTAAACTGCATGACAAACACCCATCTCATAGCTCCATCTAATGAACGAAGCCACCTATCTATATTCAGGGCAGTTGTGAGGACAAAATAGGACAAAAGAGAGCTTACTGGAAGAAACAATACATAAATTCAACTAATCATAAAAGAATTCTGTTTCTCTTTGCATTACCATGTCGGAACCATTCGACAAACTCTTCTCTGGATCTGGCTTGTTTTTGCAAATATTCAATCCTTGGACATTCACAAATACTTAGGCTGTTGGCGAGCAGGACAACATCATCTCCGGAGGCCTTTAAAAGGGAATTGGGGTAGGGGAGAGGTGGAGCAAATCTCAATATGGTGAATGGATATTGTCCCATAAGTTTCTCACCAGATGGTGGCTCCATGAGAATTTTATTTCAGGTATTTTTTTATATAGGAACATATCTAAAATCTGAAATGTCTTTGTATTTTAGGATGGAAAAAACTTGAGTGTTTAAAAATTTGAAGGCCGGAAAAACCAAAGAGGACCAACCTCCTCATTCAGGCCTACCGCTTTCAGGTCTTAGTGAGATTCTAAGTTTGGTTTTGAATCCATAAGTACACAACTCTATTGATGGTGAATTAGGGTTACCACCTTTTTTCCTTGATAAGCCCCTCATCTTGTACCACTCATGGGGCGGGAAGACCCTCTACGTGCTTGAACGATCTGTACCTCCTGAATATAGCTCTTGCAAATGGAAAAGAATTTCACTCTCTTCTAGAATTATTACTATGGCGACTCCAGTTCCTAGCCCTGATAACTAAGCATGCTTCTGAAATTCCAAGAAGCATCACAATCTCTGTATCAAATTTCCTGGAGTTGCTAGGGCAAGATCTTACTTGCCTCTCTTTAATCATAATTGTGTTACAGAGGTTGGCATCTTTATTTACTCTGCATAATTTAAAAAGGTCACAGAAATTCAGATTTTTCTTTACAAAAAAAATCTGTTATTTAAGAGCTTCATGGCTCAATGGTTAAACTGCA